TGATAACCGAAAACGTTTGCTCACTATTAAATAAATATATACCTGGCAACTTATTACTTTCTCTCCGGAGTTTTTTGTTTTATCTATTTTGTTTGCCAATGCAGCCTTCCAGTTTTATATATATATATATATATATATATATATGAAAGTTCGACGCTCTTGTTTTATGTAAATTTTTATATATATATATATAAATTTACATAAAGTGCATCGAACTTTCAGCAAGTCAGTAGCATCAAACTAAGTTTTCTCTATAAACTTATAAATAAACGTATAAAATACGGCGGTTTCTATGAAATCACTAAATGGCCTATATAGGAGTGAGATATAAAATCAAAAACTTCATACTGTATACAATATATATTGTATTTCAACTGTTTGTATTGTATTATTTTATAAGATAGTGTTGATCTGGGCTTATTTCTATGAACGTGATGAGAAGACGATTTTGAAAGTTTCTAAACTGTAGAGGGCGCTCTTGTCAAAAACCCAACGGGGAGTCGAGTCGCGCTCGCATGCATGTGCTTCGCACTGACTGCCAAGACTGTACTCACTTCGTCCTGTGCTGTGTAAGTTCACCAACAATTTACATTCAAACTATTCTCATTTGTACAGTAAATGCGTACTGATTCCCAAATACTAATAAGCCTAGACCAAGGGGCCACCTCTTTTCTTTATTAGTAGACCTAGCCTAGGCGTAATACTAAAGAAATAAGAGCCTGAGGTAGGCCCTAACAGCACGGCCTAGCCTAGCTGAACTTCATGACAACAACAGGAGACCCAAGCCTACATAGGCCTAGCTAGGCATGGGCCTGGACTGAGGTCTGCAAAAAATGTTCGTGCCTCCGACCATGAAAATTGTCTCGATAAAATATGTCCAGCACCAGATATTATCTGTACACTTTATAGCCCAAAACACAGTTCATTTAAAAAAAAATTCCCCCATAAAAATTCCGGCCCCGGGACATTCATGATGTCGCTGGTCGCTTTTTCCAGCCCTGGCTAGACTAGGCCTGTCCTTGGAGTTTTTGTTGTGTTAAATCGCTTTGAGCAGCATGTAACAATAACTTATTCTCTCATCCTTTGCCTAAACTTGATATTTGTATTGTACTGAATTTGAAATATCAATTTATTACTATTTTGTCAATATTGCAGTTGATGAAACCACTTGTTGTAGAATGGCTTTAGTTCTGTATCAGTGTACTTCAAAGCTGGTTAGTCATCCATTGCTTCAAACAGCTCGACTATTCCAAACTGCTGTCCCAGTTGCAGCCGGACGAGCCTGGAGAGAGAGGTAACAATTAGCGTACCATCATTTTCACATATAAAAATCTCCAAAAATAAAACTATTATTAGTTAAATGTAAAAGTGATACCTAATAATTTTATTTTAAATATTGATGTTATGTTTTGAATACTAAGTTTTCATATATGACAACTAAAGGAACTTATTTCAGTTTTCTATGACAACATAAAAAAATTTCCTGGTGTATACAAATTGTTTTGCAGTCAAGGGCATGCACGTACTGGTACTGAATATGGTCCTCTGACAGATCTACCCGACTGGTCATTTGCTGGTATGTTTCTGTAAAGCACCATCATAACTCATAAAATGAATCATCTATGTGTACAGTATTTAATATGTACTGTACAGTATTTCTATTTTACTGAATTAAATAGACTACAAAGAACCATGACATGCATTTTGAAACTTAGGTCAATAGACTTTAAAAAAAATTATGAAGATGACTTAAAAGGGAGGACAAGATTTCGGAATCCTGTTTTTATGAGCTACTGTAGAAGCCCCCTTTATTAAAAAGTAAGAGGTGCAAGATAAGATTAAAGTTGAGTAGGCCTTTTGCTACATTCCACAGCACCGGTGATTAACAATAGCTGGTGAAAAACTGTAATCAAAACATGGAAAATGTTTTCCAATTTAATGAAAATAAACATGCACAATTTTGCAAACTTCCATCCTACTCACCAAAGTTAGGATTAATAATATGCATTGAAATATAAATATATATATATATATATATATATAAAAAAAAAATATCTCAATTAGCACAGGCAACACCATGGAGTCTCACCATTAAACAGAGGCGATTGAGATGGTTCGGTCATTTGCTTCGATTGGCAACTGAAGTTCCAGTCCAGAAAGCACTTCAAGAAGCCACGAAGAGGTCAAAGAAATTCAGAGGGGGACAAAAATACACATGGATCTCAACAATCAATAAGCAAATTCCCGCAGTAAACCAACAGTTAAACCAAGATAGTAATGAAAATCTGCTGTCGCTGGCAAGAAATCGATCTAGTTGGAATACTTTTTGCAGAAACGCTATGCTGTAAGGCGAAAGCGGATTGATGATGATGATGCTACACGATGTACTATCAATGTCCTTCATTTGAACATTGTATTTCCCTTTGATGATTTATAATTAGTTTGTTATGTGACAAATATAATGAGATCTCACAGTGTGGACATAGCTTGCTAAATTATTGATGTAAATATAATGTCATCTCGGGTACCATAAAAAATATACAACTTGGAATTCCTTTTCAATTAAAAAAATCACAGATGAAACTACTGTACTCTATGATTAATTTATGTACAAATTTTTGTTTACAGATGGTCGTCCAGCACCTGATAACAGGTCAATCATTGACAGACGAGAAACCCAAAGGAAAATTGCGGTAAGTTTGTAACCTAAACAACCGTTCCGCAACTCACGGGTCACGGAAAATTGTTGACGGGTCGCATAATATCTTCAGATTGTTGAATGTGATTTTCCATGTAGCTTACTACGAATGACAACGAACGAATTAAAATAATAAACAAGAATTATGAGTGTGGCACGTGCGTCAGTTTTAATTTTTTAACGCATGTTTTATCAGTGTCTCGTGTTAAAAGATGTATTTTTCAATGAAAAGTACCAACAAAATATCAAGTCAAAGTCTCATTTGGAAATTGCAAAAAATGAAGTTCCATGGAAACTGAACTATTTCCCCCCAAATTTATTAAATCTATGGTTTGTTTTTTTTATGTCCGTTGGTAATGGGTATCACCATGCGCCAGGGGCAGATCCACTGATGTTTGAAAAGGGGTGCTGAAAGTAAGGCTGATCGAGACAACGGAAAAAAACCTCCGAGGCGCTTTTGGGCGATCAATTTTTTTTTTTATAAGTTTTATGACTAGGCTAAGTGTTTTGTATAACCCCACCAGAAGATATTGAAGAGGTCTGCACTGCAGATCCTCTTGGAGTTGAAGATGTGGGGGCCGGGCTGGCCCAGTTCTTCCCATCCCCTAAATCCGCCCCTGTGTTCAGCAAAATTATAGGTAGATGTGTTAAGCTTATTTAACCAGTTTTCCCAGAGTGGCTCCTTCCAACTTGGAACCCCTGGATCTGCGGTTTAATAAATTATAAATGAGAGGTTTTAAGATGTAAGGCTCCAGGGCAGGGGGCATAAGGGCCCTCCCCTATTCCGGCCGGAGCTTGATGGAAAAAAAAATAGGCCTAATGAAATTAAATGCGTGATTATTGAGTCAGGTTTGAGAGGATAGCAGCATTTTATTTAATCAACTTTACATTTCAAAGGATTTTTCAAGTCTAAGAGTGCCATTTCTGGCCGTCCAGAGGTCCCTTAAAAAACAAATCTCATTAGGAAGGGGACACCCCCTAACCCGCCTCCGGATTGGTCCTACAGCCATCGGATGGCGTTGCCTTCAAGAAAATATATCCTACAAACGCCACTGCTCCAGTGGTAGGAATGAACCGTTTTCTAGAGTATTTATCATAATCTGTTATTTATATATTTTACAGGAGAGAGTAAACATGTTGGCAAAAGAGATGATGGCTGCTGTCGAAAATACTAAAAACAAAGAGATAAAGGAAAAACAAGAACATGAGTTAAGAGAATCTAAGAAGCTTAAAGCTAAAGGAATCAAATGGAAATCATCCAATAGATAGAGGAAGAGAATTTTTAATAAGAGATTGTATTGATACAATACTTAACAGAGCTGTTATGTATCTACTGTACTATTGAATAAAAAAAAAATAGAAATTTTGTTCATGTGTCCAATGAAACCAGAGAGATTTTATTTCAATCATTTTTATACATATAATATTCTAATTGTTAAGTAACTATATTACTTTACTAGTACAAATTCATGTTACATTTCACAATCTAATGACAAAAGAAGACTTATTTCCAGTGGGGTCCTTCTGGTGGTGATTGGGCAGTACACTGGGAGACAATGCCCTACTCTTTTCCGAAGAGTGTACTGCGTTCTTTAATGTGCACATGGGCCCAACGGCTTAAACGTCCCATCCGAAAAACGGTGCGCTATTGTAACTTGTATTTCAGCCCTCTAGCTGAAACACAAGGAGAGGTAGCGATGGGAATTGAACCGGGGACCTAGAGATCTCCACAGTTCAGCTACCACCAGATTAGCCAACTGAGCTAAGCTGCTCTCTCGAATAAAATTTAATTAGTTTTTAACTTGGACCAAATAATATGTATAGCAAAATAAAATTAAATGCGTTAAGAAATCTCATTAACGGATTCAAGGGGGGGCAGCCAGCTCCTCAGAACATTTCAAAATTACATAAAGTTGAGGTGGTCTAGACTCCCCATCTCAATTGTGCTCATATATATTTACAGTATATGTATTGCTTCTCCCTACCCACATGTAGAATGACTACAAAGAAAGAAACCAAACTAGTATTAAGCATACGTAGCATTATTACATAGAATAAGTTTCAGATAAAAAACTAACTTTCACCATTTTGCACTCATTGCTTGATCCTATAAAAATAACATGATTTACAAGAGCCCTCACGAGTTCTCTAAACGAACTTTTACAACGTAAAGTTTCTTAGAAGTCAAAACAAAAAGTCTTTCGTTTGTAGCTTGCATTCCGAGTATATCATCTGTCGTATCTAAACTTATAACCTGTTGTTTCGCAAGTTCTCCTATGACTCTTCCGCTTTTCCGATTCCGTAACGGCGATAACGTCGGACTTGGTTGACGGTAAATGTAAAGGTGACGAATACAATCACATAGTACAGCGTATGACGTATCCTGGGAACATGAGGCAAATTTTTTTGACGTTTTAGCCGCTTGCACATAACCCAGCGCGTTGAATGTGGCGTGATGTTTCCACGCGTTCAACTGCTGTTCATCGGGTGTTGTTGGTTGCCAGACAATGCCATCGACGTCATGGCGGAGGCAGATGCAAGGCATTTGTTTTGGGTCAAGAGTCGCATTAAACAGCCACTGGTGACTACCCAAACTCACCTAAAATTAGTAAGAGTAAACACATTATATTAAAATAAATGTATATAATACATACCGTAATACCGAGCTCTCTATACACTGAGATACGAAAAGAAAGAAAGGGAAACTAAACCTTGAACATAAGTATTATAGGACAAAGTTGTACTTGGGTAATACAATCTTTATTGCTTTCTATTTTATACTGTGCCAACATTAAGAAAACAAAAGTAAACATAAAATGTGGTCAAAGTAAATAAGGTAGTTATGTCAACTGAAGATTAGCTGAGGAGGCACTAAGTCTCATCAATTAGCAGCTTTCTACGATGGGAAGTGTAGCGTGAAACCGTACTGCGCATGCAAATACATGGGAAAGTCGTTCTTTGTGTGGATTTGACAATGGGCTTTAAGCGATTTGGCGTTGTGTTGACTATGGCAAATACGCGCTCGCTGGGGGGGTGGCTGCATAATTTATCACGCGATACGAGGGAGCGCGTTGTCCTGTAAATTGAAACAGCTTTGATGTTGAGACGGGAAGTGCATAGTACGACGTTTATGGTTGACTGAATTCCCCGTCGCAGCTTCGCGCGTCGCAAATTTTTAAAGCTCGCTATTGGCTTCATTAACACTAGTCTGAGTCAGTAGTATTGCATGTTTTTTTTTTTTATTTACTAGGTGTCATTGTTTAAAAATACAGTAGTTGCTCATGTCCCACATAATTTACGGTAGTATACCACAGCTAATATTTAAACAAAACATGAAAAGCTTCACAACTTACTTTGTTGGTGACTTCATTTTTGTTGCCATCAAAACGTGCCATGGATGCATCACCTTCAGGACAGATATCACAGTCTTCAAGTTCCTGTGGTGTGACCCCTGGTTTAAATCCTCCAGGGTGTGGAGAAGCATCCTGGAGTAAAATTGAGTTTAGACACATTATCAGATATATTAATTTCTTATATGTTTATTTCAATGTAAAATAAAGCCAAAAATTTCGCAGCAAAGTTGCACTTGGAAATAAGGGTCAATAGATTACTTCTCTTCTTTTTTGGTTGATAAAATGGTAACCTTGTGGCTACAGTATAAAATTCATAATTATTTAAAACTGGAAAATGGCCTTTAGTATCATTTTGGGCTCTTTGGTAAAAAAGAAAAGCAGACCCATAGCCTTTTCCTAGGACACATCAGCATCATTTGACACACAACCATGCAGTTTGGAAGCCAAAAACCTTTGCTGTTCTATATTCTTCCATCTTTGTGAAACACTCACCAATTCCTCGGAAGTTAAATGTGCCAATTTCTCATGGATGATTCTTGCTTGGTCCGGATCAACTATGTAGCGCCCTCTTGAGTCTCCTATAACAACTTCACTCCACATTGTGCCAACGTCTTGCTTTGCAAGCATCAGTTCGAGTCTGGTCGAAAATGAAAAAAACATTTAAAAAAAACCCTGATTACACGAGTCTGCAAGGAATAGGGCTAGGGCCTAGCCACCAATAGGTCGCCATAGACAGATTCAAGTGGGCCCAGTCAGCCGGAGTCACCCCTTAATTTTTTTTAAATAAAAAAAAAAATATGGGGATAAATAATTAAACAAAAATTATAATTCTGAGAGTGCCATTTCCAGCCATCTAGAAGTCCCATAGAAACAACATTTTGTACCTCTGCCCCAACCACGGTGGGCCTGAGGAAGTCTGGGCCGCCCTCTATTCTGAATTCGTCATTGGTTATGTGGCCTGCGGTAGAGTATACTACCGTTGAACCTCAGGTTAGCAACCGCCCACTTTTTACATGTCGAGAAAATGAATTTTTGAAAAATGGGCAGAGCATATCGAGATACATGTTGGGAAAGTTTATAAAAAGTCCCTAGTAATATTGTATTGAGCCTCCAAATATATGGACTCCGGAGTGTATCCTTACTTTTTATTTTCAACAGTCCAAGAGCTGGTTTCTACATCTATGAACCTTGGCAATTCCCCTTTTAATAGCACTATATCACCTTTGATGCTGATCTCGATGTGGTCATGGGTCAGTCGTATATTCAGTTCTTCTTTGGTGGAATCTTGTGGTATGGTGAATGTTACAATGGTGTCTTCTTGTGTCTGTGTCCAGGTGTAGAGTGGTACTTCCTCTTAAGAAATTTAATAACATACCAAGTTACCTACATGTACATCCACTTGGTGGGGGATGAGGTAAAATATCTGACCTATACTCTAAATACCATGGCACTGCCTAACTCAAATAATTTCTAGGTAAATCTTATTTTACATGCCAAATTGTTGTATTTTCTATTAATTAACGATCTGTAAGTCAAATTTTATCTAAGTCAAACAATTTTTCAATGCCATTTTGGATTCGACTTGGGCATGTTCAACTGTACTGTAATTATTATTGTCATGATTATTATTATTATTACTAGTATGAACTAAAATGATGTATGCATTTTTTTCAATCTTTCTAACTGTATTAATTCAATTAAAATTTATTTGTTTGTTATTCATATCTATTATCATAAGGCGAGACTTTTTTTATACCTTGTATCGCGAACTTTTTTTTTTTTTTAAAACGTCAGAAGAAAAAAAGAATGTTTTCTTACTTAGCAAATAGTTTTACCAAAAACATCCAGACAGATGAAAAAATAAAAATAAAATTGTATTGGTGAATGTAAATGTAAACAGTGTAGTAATGGGATGGTTAAATGCTTTAAATTTATATAATTAGGATGAAGTATACATGTGTAATTGTTGGAGATTTCAAGGCAGCAACAGGCATAATAAAAATAAAGAAAAAATTCCATTTTTCGTGGTGGCGGGTGTGCTAGCTGGCCAAAAATAAAATTTATATTTTTTATTCAAAATTGTCATTATTGGGAGGGCTTCGCTCAGCAAGGTATAAAAAAGAGCCTAATGCTGTATATGACAACAACCTACAAGTAATAAAATCATAGGCAATAGCTCCAATCCAAACATACAATAACATCTAATCAGAATTAGGAATTCATCTTTAGACTGGTGTAACAATAGCTACTGCCTCTAAAAATATCACTCTTTTGTTGTGGCAGCTCACCTTCTTCCTCCTTCTCTTCTGTATGACCATTTGAAGCGAGAGGCTTGAAAGTGTTCTGAACTACCGTAAAGTCTGTTTCACATGCCCACAAGAGCGCAGTACCGGTCCGATCAATGGCGGCCATCCACGGTGCACTAGCTCCACTGAATTTACGCCGTCCTTGGACTTTTATAGATGCATCTTCTATTGGTATCAAGAAAAATTAAATACATACATGATAGAGATTTTTTTAATCATTGTAAAAATGCTATAAATGAAAATAATTTTGTTATATTTCACCGTTAACTTAATTAAGAAATGTGTTTTCCTGTATTTATTTTTGATATATTCAATCCACGACCGATTAATTTATTCAAATTTGACCTTTCACTTCCAAAATATATCAAACATAATCCAGATTGTTAGAAGAACCAAATTTGAGCTTAATCACACCATATTTATATTGAATATCTGACATTTTACATAGCTCTAATCTCATTGACCTAAATTCTATGATCCCCATTAAAGGTATTGGTCAGTGGTTCTACTGATCGACTTTGGTTGAAACCAACCCCAGCATTTGGCACTATGTATTGGGTCAAAGTTTAAAGTGAAAATAAGAAATAGCTGCATTCAATAAAAGAGTATTATTGGTGTTGGTAAAGTGATTGTTTATAAAAATGACTGCATGCCACACTTTGTGGTAGTGGTGCACAATAGAATGGTTAAAACAATAACACTTCCTCTGCCTACACTTTTACGCTAACTGCACTGTATACTGTACCAACTAAACATACAAAACCACCACTATCAGCAGGGCTGCCGAATGTGTTTATTTTCTCAATGATTATTACCTGCAGTTTCAAAAAGTGTAACCCATTCAAGGATAACTTCAAATCCATCATTTTTTGATGCTCCAAATGTCTCCTTCTCCCGTATGTATAGTAGAAGGCATTCGTACACCGGCTCGCTATTCTCTTCGAAATGTAAGACAGAGTCTAGCAGTAGAAATGCTTGATCATCTTCACAAACAGAATCTGAGTACAGCACCTTTAATGAAAGATGGTTAAAGACGTCTTCCTATTTTCATTTCATTTATTATTCAAACAATTCTTTTTCTTTCTTTATTTTTTACCTTTTTGTTTTTTTACTTTCCAAAATGTGACCTAAATCCTCCCTGGCTGCACCAACCGTTCCAACATTGATGAATTGTGTTGCTGTTGTGTGGCAGGATTGCCAAAAAGTAGAATATAAATCTATTGTCATGGGCTCTCATAACAGTGACATACATTGCATGGCCGGCAGAACCGGGGAGCCCGGGGACCCCACTTTTTGGCAAAAAATATGTAATGTCTGGAGATTTTTGTATGATCGGAAATGCAAGAAAAGAAGGAGGGAAGAAGGATGGGAAAGAGAATGTTTATCCAGTACCCGACTGAGTTACATTTTCTCGCAATTCACGTTGGCGGATCTGGTGGAGGGGGGTCATGGGTCCTGACCCCCTTCCTTGGGCAACAAAAAAAGGGAAAAAAGAAAAGAATTCTAGACCTACCTTTTCAGGACCCATGAGCTGATTTTTTTTTGTTTGTTACAATAAGAAAATTAGAATTTTGAAGAACATCCTTCAGTCCTTAAAACACACTTCAAATTTCGGGAAAGCTCATTTCCCGCCATCTAGGAATCAAAATTTCCTGGGGGAACCCGGACCCCCCTTTTCTCTGGAGTTTATTGATTAATTGAATCATTTTCAAGAGGGGGAACCTTGAATTTTGAAGAATTTAAAGGTCATTAAAAGACACCTCAGAAGTCGGGAAAGCTCATTTCCCTGCCACCTAGGAATCAAAATTTTCCCGGGGAAGAACCACAGGACCCCGCAGATTCATCGAAAAAAATATGTATGCAACTTACTCAATCTTTTTTTTATGTATGTATACACACATACGACCTATTTACTGTAATAACAATGGGAAAAAAATTCCTGACCATTTTCAAGAGTGGAAAACCTTGAATTTTGAAGAACTAAAAAGTAATTAAAAGACACAAGTCGGGAAAGCTCATTTCCCGCCTTCTAGGAATTAAAATTTTCCTGGGGAGAACCAGACCCCCCTTTTCTTTGGAGCTTATCGATTCATCAACTACTCATTTTTTAAGTGTATGTATACATTCCAGATCTGCATGATTCATATTCCCATTCATCTTATAAGTGGGCCCTCTCACTTTGAAAAACGTTCCGCCGGCCCTGCAGTGTAACAATAAATATAAAATTTTATACAAACAATTTATCTAGACACCAACCTTCCATTTACTGAGTTCAGGTGTGTCTCGCTGACCCGTGTCCAAAACAAATAAAGTGCCCGTTCCATCTGCCAAGACACACATTGTTTCGGATGGGAACGTGATTGAAACGTTGTGCCGAGGCACATGTCTTTTCTGATCAAAATCGGGAATTGTAAAAACGATGCTTGGCTGATCTAGCTGGCTCTCCTTTTGCCAAGAAAATTAAAAGAAAACTGAAATTAGTTATGAGATGGAAACTAAATATTGTTCGAAGGTATGCATGGCAAAGTAATAATATATATTAATGCTTGCAGTACACCACATAGATAGTTCTGAAAAGAACGGTTGTTGTGGGTTAAGAATATCTCGACATTTCGATTGAGTTACTTCAATCGATGGAAACTATTATCAAGTCATATATCAGAAGTGTAAAACAATAAACATACATTTAATTCAACATTTAATCAATCAATCAAATTCTTCAATAGAGTAAGTATCAAAATCATAATTTCTAAATTTGTTTTTTTAATTTATTTATTAAATTTTATGTACAACATGTATGTTTAAAAACAACAAAAAAAGAATGATCTATAGGTACAGTAATCAGCTGTTACCTAGATCACATTTTTTATATCAATATCCATTTATTGTTTGTTGGTGAATTAGAGGTTGATTGTGAACTCCAGGCGAGTAATGGTGGAAACTTCTTAATTACAGGACTTACTAAAATGACTCGTAACCGCCTCACATGCCATTTCTCATCAACGTAGTAAACACTGTTCATGTGCCAGACATCTAGGAAAAGGTGGTTGTGCAGTCCAAACGCTTTCACATGTTGGTAAGAATATTGGTCATCACGTAACCGTACTGAATCAATACCTTGAAATACAATCAAGATTGCAAATTAAAACAAACCTTACTCATTAACAACAGTATATAATGCAGAGTTTGGTGAAGCGCCTAATATAAAATAAACGAAATAATGAACCCATTCCCCATCCACAAACTACACAAATACTTTGGCAAATATTGCATTTGTAGATTTACAAAAGCATTGTCTGATTGTAGTATTCTATTACGTAAACTTAATATTTATGAAGCACAAGTTAGAGAAAGTTGACACATGTCATCATCGACATTTGAGGGCTATTTTGAATTTAAAAATATCCAAAAAGAATTAAAAATAAATCTTTATATACAGTTACAAAATCCGATTTACTGACAAAGCACATGTAGGTTGTCAATGCTTGGGCACATTTTAGCTCACTCCTGCTCATTGTGCAATTAATTAATCATAAAACTTGAAAAGCTGAAAAGGAAGACACAGTGTTACATACAGTTAAACTTGCCTGAGTCGACTTTGCCGAAACTCGAATAAGTTATAAGTTGATCTTATTTTACATACCAAATTGTTGTGTTTTCACTTAATTAACCATCGGTAAGTCAAATTTTATCCAAGTCGAACAATTTTTCAATGTCATTTTGGATTGAACTTAGGCAAGTTCAACTGTATATTCAAAAATAAAATATAATATAAAAGAAAAGTGATTTTAATAAACTTAAAGAAATTGCTAGAAACAAAATTCAATGGAATGGAATGTATGTATGAAGAAATGATTTAGAAAGATGTTCATTATTTTGTTTATTCATAAAAAAAGATGTGGCTGTGAATTATCAGACACAAAATTCATTCTGTATCTACAATAAAGTTGGTAATAATGTATGGATTTTTTTAATTGATTTAACTGAATAAAAAAAACCATTCAAACTTTATTAATCCCAAGGTTAGAATTTCATGAATTAATGTGATGTTTGCTGGAAACAACAATATACAGTATTTAGTCCAGTATAGACCAAATTTACTTTACTGGAAATATACTGTGCATGGGAATAAGCAATAGCAAGCTTTTCTTACCTGAATCTGTCTTCACGGAGTAAGAAGGCAATGGGTCCAGAGAGAGTTTATATCCGTCAAAGTTTGGATCAAGTAGCGTACGATCTACGTTTAAGCTTTCGGTCAATCCCGCCATTATTAAATCTGTGTACAACTAAGGGATTAAACTAATAGAGAAAAAAATATTTAAAAACATTAGAATATTTTACATTGAAATGAAGTTTCACATACTTCTGGCGACAGTGGGTTTCCTGCTTTTGCGACTCCCGGGCAATGATGGCAAATGAATAAATAAAATAATAAAATAAAAATAATGGCAACAATGCATCACAATTACTTTGCAGAGATTCCTATTAAACACTGCCTGATACCAAACACTTTAAACTTCTTGCTTTTATATTAGAAGTACTTGTTACTGTACATAAAATTATCTTCGCCTGGGAACTGTTATTATATCATACAATTTCATGGGGCAAAGCCTAGACTAGAAAGATGCTCTTGTTGTGTAGTGAAAAGTCGCACCTCCTTACTTGAGGTAGCACCGCCAACTTAGCAGTGTATAGTAGGGCAGCCATAGGCTTATCCTTGGTGGAAGCTACCAGAGCCCAGCAAACTGACGCCGCGGTACCTGCGTGTACACGGTAGTGATGGCAACGCTATCTCAAAATCGGGGGTGTGCACTCCCTCCCCCACTTCGCGTTCTTTTGCCTTTGTTTTATTATGACTTTAAAAGCGCCTTGAGACGGTTTTCTGTGGAAGGCGCTATATAAATATATGACCATTGACCATAGTGTAACCGGTCGGTCTTGGGCGGTGCTTTATAGGATCCCTCATGAGTCATGTACTCACTTGACTTGACTCACTCACATTGACACAGATAATTCAAGTTGATCAGGGGACAGTCTCAGAAATAAACATCTTGTTTGTAGATTCTCAACATGTATTTTTCAGCTGGTTTTATTAGTAACCGAGGGAGGCCCATATTTTTAGGATTGGCCTAGCCCATACTGTAAAGTATTTTAATTGCGCGGATGATACCTTAAAAACTAGCTCAAATCAGGAGAAGTGCTAGCAGGGGTTCCGGGGGGGGGGGGTGCAAAGGACCCTCGCATGGACCCCCGTCAGCAATGTTTAAGTGCTGTCAGTGGGTGGAGGTTGTGTGGAGTGTTGTTATGTGTATTGAGCATAAAGAAAAACATTTAAAGTTAGAGTTAATTGTATGCATCATCGTAGACCTTTTTTGTTATGTTCACTTAACAGTTAGGAAAGGTGTGATGTCGTGTACAGTGATATTAAAGGAAATATGGTTGTTGTAAGGTTTGTTGTTTACGTAACTTTTTGAAATATTTTGTACTGTAATTATGAAGATATTTATGTAGAGGTTTATGATATAAGTAGACAGTTTGGTGAGTGAATGGAATTTGTTGCATAGAAGTATTTCATTGTGAAGAAATATATTTTTCCAAAGGTGC